ATTTTATTGTTTAATAAATTTTTTTTTTAAAGTTCAAAAATGAAATTTTAGGAAGGTTTTATGGTTAAAAGTTAATATGTCTTTCCTACAGTCTATTTTAAATCCTATCAGGATGTCTGTCACATGTATGTAACTATGAAAGGAAAAAAATTAACACTCTTTATTGTGGTACAAAAACAAGAAAACAAAAACACCCAGGGTTATTATCTTAAAATTCTCTTAACCTATAAGTCCAGTAGGTTTAGCTTGTTTCTCTGCTACAGCTCCCACAGGCCCAAATCAGCAGGGCTGCATTCTTTTTGCAAAGTAGTAGGACAGAATTTGTTTCAGAGCATTCACCTTATTGGCAGAATCAGTTCCATGAGACTGTAAGACTGAGCCCCCCACTGCTTTGCTGTCTGTTGGGGGGGGAGGTCACAATTTTCACCCACATTCTGTGGGCATTGGCTTCCTTCCTCCATCTTCACAGCCAGCATCAGCTGGTAGAATCCTTTTTATGCTTCAAATCTCTTATTGTCTCCTTTTGCCTCATCTTTCCTATACATCTCTTCTGACTACAACTGATGCAGGTTCTCCTCTTGTAAGAGCTCATGTGATTATATTGGAACCATCTGGACAATCTAGGAGAGGCTTTCCTATCTCGAGGTCCGCAACTTTAATCACACATCCGGGGATTCTGGGGATGAGAGTGAGCATCTCTGAGGATGGTCATTCTGTTTACCAGAAGCAGTGGTACTTCAGCAAACTAAGGGCAGGATATCAAGTGCTGGCCCTGGTCCTGCCACTTCCTGTGTAGTCTTGAACAAGTCACACACATCTCTGGGGTCACACTTTCCACAACAGTCAAATTAAAGGCATTGGTTTAGATAAGAGAGCTCTAGAGTTTAGACTTCCTTAAAAAATACTGGACCTAACGTTGCTGGACACACAATGGTCCAGAGTTTCAGTTTACCAGAGAAGATGCCGCAGTTCCTTGGCCTCCTTCATACTTTCAAATGACCTACTCTGAGATACTGTAGTTTTTGTTTTTTTTTCTGGTACCGAGAATCGAACTCAGGACCTTGTGCTTGCCAGGCAGGCACTATGCCACTGAGTTATATCCCTGGCCCAAAACACTGTGTTTTCTTTCTTCTTAGTTGAGCAAATGTTTAAGACTTTGAGATACTGTACTGAAATGGGCTCTTCAAATATTTCTGGTAAAATATATAATAAAGCACTCAATGGCAATGTATTAAATTACATGGGTATTACTCTCTAACTCATACTATTGGAAGTTTATCTTATGGATAGAATTAAACATTCAAAAGTGCTAGATGTACAGGGATATCATCTGTAGCATGTTTCTTATAGCAGATTATTGAGAAAAGCTAATACTTAACTATAGAGGATGTTAAATAAACTATGGTTTATCTGTACCATTGAACAGTGTAAAGAAAGATGAGTTTCTCTTTGTGCTGTGAAAATATCTTCAGGATATATTGAGTGAAAAAAGCAAAATAAAGATTACTGTGTTTGATATACTGTCTTTAAGATAAGAAAAAGGCTGCATTTTAACTTCTTGCATTGCATAGAGTAATTCAGGAAGGAAACATATGGGAAAAAAGTTAAAATCTATAAGGGCTGTTACCTGTAACACTCCTGGGGATGAGGGATGGAGTGGAAAAAGGAGGGGATGGGAGCAAACTTACCAGTGTAACTGGGCATCTGCTGCTCTAATCTTAGGAAGGCCTCATGTTTTCAGATATATTTTTCTATAGGGTTGAGCAGTGTAGGGCATTTGAATGAAGATTAAAATTTGTCATCAGACCTAATCTTGTTGCTTTGCTCAGGACTGTCCCTGATGACCAAATCAGACGAGGATCTATAGCAGAGGTAAAAAGTTGATTCAAAGTCACTGACCAAACCAGGCACAGTGGCACATGGCTGTAATCCCAGGATTTAAGAATCTGAAGCGGGAGGATCACCATGAGTTGAAGGCTAGCCTGGACAACATAGTGTGTTCCACACCAGACTGGATTACAGAACAAACAAACAAAGAAGAAAGAGAAAGAAAAGTCACTGACCAAGATCTCTTCCACTTCCCTGATGCCTGGGTCAGATTTTGTATATTTTTTGGTTAACATTTTTTTCATTTGTGCTTGTGATTAAAAGGCTAGAGGCCAGTGTTTACCTCCAAGAACATGAAACAATATTATTTAAGGAAATGCTGACTACAAACATAGATAAACCCCCCAACTTTCAACGTCTTGGTATGATAAAACTTCCTCACCCACAGGAATCCAAGCCATAGCTGTCCTGCAAGCAGTGATTCAGGAACTCGGGCTCGTTTCATCTTGTGGCTCCACCACCTTCCCTGGTCCTTGCAGAAAAGGACAGAGGGAGGCTCCTATGTGGCGGAGGAGCAGAAGAGCAGGTTAGGACTACATGTGAAGCAGCATGCGATGCGAATATGTGTGTCTGAGCACGTCTCTTCCCTGCAGCTCATGGACCATGTGTCTTCTGTCTCTCCTACCCTTTCATACCCTTTTTGAAAGGATGTTGATCTATTAATGTGCAGTTTTAAAACTGCAAAGCTAGGAAGAACAACAAAAATCATTTACTCAATACTGACATCTTCTAGAAACAAAATCTCAGAGGATATGATGTGCCCCAAATCACTGTGATGCTCGCACAGCTTTACAGACTATAATCGTCTCTAACACTCGATAGTTCATATAAATATCCCATCAGGTGTTTCTCATTATAAAGCTTCATTTCATGCTCTCTCTCCCATCTTAGCATATAGAAATTAGTTTCTCAAAACCTCAAGTTTTAAGAAATTTAGCCCTGCATTTAATGCAACAATTCAAATTATATGGTTACTTAAAAATACCAATCCAGTTCCTGCTTAAAATGGTTCTAGAAACAGGAAACCCACTGCACTGTAAGGTGACCCATCTCATTTAAAAAAATAATTAAGGTTAATAAAGTCTTATTTATACATATTTACAAATTGCCTTCCTGTGACTTCTACTTTGATTTTCCCTTTTGGCGCTACATAGAATGTCTTCTTCCAGGAAGGTAGGCCTAAGGCACTTGTGCCCCACTCCTATCTCTTTGAGTCTAGAGCAGACTTTAATAATCAAACATGGAGATTTCCTACAGAGCCAGGATGGGTTCTCAAAATTCAGTCCAAAACTTTAAACGACTAACACAAGTTGCACAGCATTAGCATCCAAGAAGAAATCTACTTAACATTTCTACTCTCGACTACCTTCTCTATAACTGTCAGCTCATTTACAGCAACATCAAAAATGATTAAATAGGAAGAAATCAAATGAAAGATGTTCGAGAGCTGTACAAAGGAACTTACACAGGTAATTGAGGGAAATTAAGGAAGACCCGAGTAAGTGGAGAATGTATCATGTCCAAAAAATAGAAGATTCAAAGTTGCAAAGATGCCCCCTTTTCAAATTAATTTCTAGATACAATACAGGCTTAATTGGAATCCTAACAGTGTTAGTGTCTGCAAAAAAATTCACAAGTTCATTCTAAAAGAATGAAAATACACAGGGTTCATAATAGCCAAGACGTTCTTGAAGAACAATAATGACACATGCTTGTACTATGAGATGTCAGCACTTGTTATAAAGCGTAGTAATTAACACTTTACTTCTTCCTCTGAACACAATATAGAAAAATAGGACAACATAAGAGAACAGAGGGCCCCAAACAGACTTGCAAATATATGAACATGTGATTTTTAACAAATGTGGCACAGCAAGGCAGTAGGGAGAAAAGTGCTTTTTAATGGACTGCTGGAGTAATTAGAAGCACAATGAAAAAAAAAATTTGATCTCTGCTTCACACTACTCACAGAAATAAATTCCAGGTACATTGTGGAGCTAAATGTGAAAGAAAACATGAACTTTTAGAAAATAATTTAAGTGAGATATACCTCTGGGATATTGGCATGAGGAGCGTCATGGATCCACTTTCTGGCGAAACAAGCAAAGCTGGTAAAAACTTCAAAAACAGCAACCACTTAAAGTCTGGGAAAGGTTCTGAGGGCTTAAAATAAAAAAAAAAAAAAAACCACTGAATCAGGAAAATCTACTAATACTTACTAAGGACAGCTAGAGTCGGGCATTTGAACCATTACCCTGCTCCCACCCTCTCCCCTGACTTCCCACTCAGCTTGGTAGAAGCTTTACTCTGGGTAGGTGGGGCCAAGATAATAGCCCTCTCCCCCTCAGCTCCCAGAGTTCTTCTGTACTCTGGGGGTTGGGGGAGCTACCTGCATTCCTCATCACCCGCCTCCCTCCACCTGCAAGTTAAGGAGGTTAAAATCTAGGACAGTACGTTAGAGATTCAGGATACTTTCCCTTACTCAGCTCCTACCCATAGACAGAGACTGTACTATAGTGAGGCAAATCAGGAAAATGAGGGTCCCAATTACACTTGCCCTCAATTCATGGGGTCAGAAGATCCCTGCTGGGAGGGGCAAGCAATAGGCAGAGGCTGTGGCCCTGGCCAGCACCCAAAGTTGTGGATTATAGAGTTTTTCCAGAAGACAGACAGTAGCAAAACACATCTGTGCTCTCTCCAAAGAAACTAAATTTATGTGAAACAGCATGGAGAAGTTCAGGCCTAAGGTTGCCCCTCAAAACAATAATACCCGTTAGTTATGAGCAACAAGCTCAGCCACAGGCCGGCTAGTTCATCAGTGAGAACCAGGAAAGAGACATCTAAGAAGAGCCATTTTGAATCAGAACAAACATCAGAAATGGTATTAAAAATCACCCCAACCCACTACTGGATCATACCGCCGAGTAATTTATACTCCAGGGCTTGGTCTGAAACAATAGAACAATTAGTGGCAATTAGTGTAGCTTAATTGCTGGGTATAATACCAAAAGAGTAGAGAGCTTAACAGAGAGATCAAGGAGAAGACAAAGAAACTACTGCAATTACTATAATTCTAGGGTTTGGGCCCCAGGCCACATCTCCTGAGGAGTGAAATCAAAGTCTTCATACTATGGATGAAATAGACTTCACTAAAGCAATTTTACTTTCACCAAACAAATAAGCCAACAATAAAAACCTAGAAAAGGGAGGGAGGGATTAGTAGCCAGATTTGCTATTACGTATCACCCAAAATGTCCAGTTTCAATTAAAATTTAGAACATGGCAAAAGAAACAGGAGTATGTGACCCATGTTTTTGGGGGTGCTGCAAGTAACAGAAAATACCTCAGGGAGGGACCAGATGCTAGATTTAACAAAGACTTTAAAATAATCGTTAAAAATGATTCAAAGAGCTAAAATAAAACATGCTTAAAGAAATCATGTAAGGTAAAAAGACACCAAATGGACATTTACAGTGGTGGTGAACCTATGGCATGCATGCTGCAGTGGACTCTTTGTGTCACTGAAAACTCTAACAGGTTCACTGGGTTAAAAAATACAATGGAAACATTCACTAGAGGGGCTCAAAAGAAAATCTGAAATGGCAGAATAAGAATATGCAAACTTGACCAAGTGCTAGTGGTTGTACAGTCCCAAAAACAAAATGAAGAAAGAACCTTGGGACACATGGGATAACTTAAGTGCTCTGATGTATACCTAAAGGAAGTGATAGAAAGAGAGGGGATAGAAAGGAGGAAAAATATGTGAAAAAATAGCAGCTGAAAAACCTCAATCTCCGTACTCAAGAAGCATAACAAATGCCAAACAGGATAAACTCAAAGGGATCCACACACAGACACACCATAATAAAAAGTGCTAAAACCAAAAATGATAACATTTTTAAAGTAGCAAGAGAAAAATGACTTCTACTTACAAGAGAACCCTGGTAAAAACAATAGAGGACTTCTCATGAGAAATTGTGGAGGCCAGAAGGCATGGAATAACATAGTCAAAATGCTGAAATGAAAAACAGCAGCTATCATCCAGGAATCTTATATCCAGCAAAACTATCTTTCAAAGTGAAAGGAAAAAAAAAATACAAAACCTTTCCAGAAAAACAAAAACAGAGAATTCATGGACGGTGTACCTGCTTTACAACAAATACTACAGAATGTGTCCAGCTGAAAGTAAGTAAGCCCAAACAGAAATTCAAATCTATATGAAGGAAATACTTATAAATGTAAACATTCAATTTTACAAGATAGTGTAAAAACATATTTTTCTCTATTCTAACATTTTAAAAGGAAGTGTATGTACATAATTGTGTAGTTGGGTCTGTGATAAGTAGAAATGTAATACTATTTGGTCTTGTATGAAAAGAGGTTAGAAATGCTTTGTGTTTGATAAAGGCAGCATGACCAAATGAGAGGGAGTGAAGCTGTATTGAGTTGGAGAATGAAACTCAAGAACGTGAATCCCTAAGAGACGAATGAAAAGAACTAGAAAAGATAAAGTGAATATAACAAATGCTACAAATGTGTACTTGTTCTGCCTTCTCTATAAGCTTCATTAATAGACATAAGATCATATTATGGAATAATTACCATAACATAAGTATTGGGTGTCTAGGCTCTATAGATGGAATATATAATGTAGATGATAATAGTAGCAAAAAAAAAAAAGGGAGAATAAAGCTGAAGAGGAATATTTTTGGGTTTTGGTGGAGTTAGGTTAGTATGAATCTGAAGTAGATTCTGATCAATTAAGATGTATATGGTAAGCCTTAGACTGCTAGGGCAAGCCCTAGGAAAAGACTAAATTAATGAAAAGAATCATTAAAAATTAAAATTATTACAAATATTCACTGATGGCAAAACAAAGCAGTTAAGGAGGAAAAGACTCAGGATAAAGAAGGTGCTCCTCCAGCGTGCAGTAACTGAGTTTCTGAGCTCTGGAAGCTATACCTGTAGAACTACAGCAGTCCACTGACTCCAGTTTGTAAAACGCAGAGCTAGACTATTTCCAGATCCAGCTGTTTAATGAGAAGAGTTACTGACGTTCTGCTGGTAATTAGTGGCTCACATGAGTGGAGGAAAATGACAGATAGGTACCATTTAAGCAGTACAGTGGTGATGATGACGATACTACAGGTCCATTCTTTGCACATCTATCATTCACCGATAGTCCCCCTCCAGAGCCTTTGATCCTTCCTGGTTTTGGTGCGCGCACACCTGTTTCCATCTGCCAGTGTTGGCATCTGTGCGCAAAGGTTCTCTCCTAAACCCCAGAATATTCTTCCCGTGTCATTCCCTGAAGCAGATCTCAGCTCATAACTCCTAGTAGCTGGTGTATAATTTCCCCCAAACATGTCAGTGCTTTTACTTTTGGTGTCTCATTTTCCCCCTCCAGCAATTCTGGAAGGAAGAAGTTGTGTTAAGCAAGGTTTACAATGGAATGGAATGGAATCGCCACATGGTTTTGTTTCCTCATGTATCCCAAAATATATTACTGCTTGGTATATTATAGATGCTCAGAAAATAATTGATACTTAAGATTAGAAAGTGATGGTCCTATAAATAATTTGATAGGGCCAGGACTTTTATATGGCCTTTTGGATTCAAGTGTAGTGTTCTGTCTGCTATACATTTACAAGGTTGCTGTTCCCAACCCTGTGGTTTCAGATTATGGCTTGCGGAGGAACTTAAAAATTACTTAAATATGCCAGTAACATCAGTCAACCCTACGCTACAGCAGTGTAGGCTTCCGAGTCTATGGAATAGAAAGATTTGTGTAAATATTTAAGATACTTATGGCACAGATTGGCATTTGCTTATGCCACATAGACATTTGGGAATCACACCATCCTCATTTGGAGATGCATGCCCCATGAAGCAGAGATACCTAGTTTTCTTATCTCCAAATGAGTTGGAATATATCCTAGACAGCCTTGTTTGAGTGTTTTTTTCCTCCTAGTTAGCGATGTGAACATCTAAAAGTCAGTTTTCTTGGAGGAATCTCATTCTTTAACATTCTAGCTTGGGCTTTTAAAAAGTCATTTAATAAAGGATGAATTTCTTCAATAAAGGACTCTGAGAGGATTTTAATGAGTTTTGAAAATAAATGGACACTGTAGGTAAAACCATATTTAGAAGTATAAACAACAATAATATCCAGTATTTTTAATCTAGCGAGTAGATTGGATACTAACTCATTAATCAATTTCTCCCCAAGTTATGCATCTTCCCCCAAACGAATGGCTAGTCTCTGAAACCATTTTGATGCTGGAGTACTGCTTTCCCTGAACTCCTTAAAGTCATCAGGCACATTAAAGGATATCCAATTTCATTGGTCTAAGCTGAATGATCGCAATTCATCAAGGCATGAAAAGTCTGTCCAGTCTCCTGGAATATCATTAAATGGTTCAAGGACATTTCTAATCTTAATGATGGCCAAGGGGAAGCAACTATTATGATGATGAATGGGAATGAATATCTGGAAAAAGTTCAAGGCATGTTAGACTTCCAAAGACTAATACATGTTGTTTATCTAAATCATCCAACTGATTAAAGAAACACACAAAGCGCAAGACAGTTAAAAGCAGAGAACCAAATAGGGTTTGACCTACCCTGGTATATTTATCGCTGACCATGTCATGCATGTAAAATGTATTGCCCTACCAAGATGCTGTGTATATAAATCCGGAGGGTCTTTTGAGGCTGATGTTGAGTAATATAGGCTGTCCAGTTTATTGCCTGGCTAAATATTTACATAAAATGAGTTCATTGATGGTAGGGAAGCCTCCATAAAAGGAGTCTTTCAACGTTACTGATTAGTGACAGTGCCCAAAGCTTAGCAAGAGCTGTGCGGTAGCAACATTGGTACTTCTAAAAACAACTCTTGACTTGCTCAAAGTTCTTAATCTCTTATCTGAGTTACAGGTGTGTGTGTGTATGCGTGTGTGCACGCACACGCATGCGTATGTGTATGTGTGTCCAAGTAAGACAAAACCCTCTTGGCCCCAAAAGCAATGCAAAATCTTCAAGGTAAGTGAAAATGCTATGAAGTATACTCCCTAGAGTCCATCTTTGGGGAGTATGTGTCTGTGAAATAAATGCCATTTTTAGAACAGGAAAGTCAGTGCTAGGCTAATTGGGGAAGACTCCTTTCGTATGGTAAAGGCCAGAGAATAGATGCCTTATGCAGGGAATTGTTTTTGGCTGACCTCTCCCTGTGCAGGCAGAGGAAAAGTCAACCACATAGGTGGCTGGGAGAATGTTGGGCGATGGTCCAAAGACATAATCGTAGTAAATATCTTTTCAGTAGGCCTGGGAATGGTGTGTTGTTGGGCTGAAATACTGCAGACACGGCCTAAATAGTTGTTTAGAGATAAGAAGAAATAAGAAGTAAAAAGTAATAGAGAACTTAGAATTATATACTCTATTCACTTAGATTCTTAGACACTTTCTGCTTCTGGTTTTTCTGCTGTTTTTTCTTAGTGTTTCATGGTTTCTCATCTCTTCGTGACCTCTGAACACTGGTGGTCTCAGGCTTGGTTCTCAGCCCTCTTGTCTCAGTCTAACCTTATTAAGTTGAGTCTGATGGCCTTAAATAGCATGCCTCTCAAATCTCCGGCCTGTCCTGCTCCCAGAATTTCAGATTATCTGTTTGACACATGACTGTGATACCCAATAAAGCATTTTCATATTAAAATATCCAAAGGAGAGTTGTTAATTTATATCCCCTGTTCCCTGTCCTCAGCCTCTTCTTCTCCTAGAATTCAACATTTCAATTGATGTCATTCTCATTTTCTCAGTTACTCACGTAAAAAACATCTAGACATGATCTAGTACTCTCTCTTCCTTGCCTACTGCAAATATATCCTGAACCCTAGTATTTCACAACATACCCACAAATTCCAGTCTGGCACAAACTTGTGTTGCCTACACTTCTGCCTCAGACTGGTGTCCACACCCTTCCTACCCCAATTAGTCTCCTCGCCACAGTCAGAAAGAGCTTTGTGAGATGCATAAATCATCACAACGCTCCCCTACTCAGTGCCTTCCAGGGGTTTCTCCCTTAAATTAAGATCAGAACTTTTCACTGTGGCCTGCAAGGTCCTCCACGGCCTGGTGCTCAATCTCTCCACATCCATCTCTTCTCTTCTCTCTAGTTGACTCCGTCTGGCAACAGTGCCCTTTCCTGTGTGCCTCAGCACACCAAGGTTCTACCTGCTATGGGCTTCTTCCTTCTGTGGGGTCTTTACACATATGTGTGACTGTAGCCTGAATGGTAAATGGGGAAAGACCTAATACAATAGTCTCCCCTTATTTCCATTTTTATTTTCTGTGTTTTCAGTTATTCATGATCAACCATGATCCAAAAATATTAAGTGGAAAATTCCAGAAGTAAGTAAGTTTTAAAAGCATAAGTTTCAGGTAATCTTTGTAGCATTTTATTAAAGTTGTCCTATTTTATTAGCTGGTAATCTTTTTTTTTTTTTTTTTTGGTTTTTCTCCGGTACCAGGAACTGAACTCACGACCTTGCGCTTGCCAGGCAGGCGCTTTTGCCGCTGAGCTAAATCCCCAGCCCCTAGCTGGTAATCTTTGTTGTATCTGATTTAGAAATGAAACTTCATAACCAGAGGTTATATATGTACTAGGAAAAAACTTAGTACATACAGGGTTCAGTGCTATACATGATCTCAAGCCTCCACGGGGGAACCTGGAATAATTCCACGATGTGACACACACACATAGCACACATAGCACAGGAGCATGCTGCGGGGTGAAGACACAGGAGCAGGCTGACTCAGAAAGGTACCTCTTAATGTGGTCTTGAGAGATAAAGTAAGTAGGGCATTTAATAGACAGCAGACTACTCTAGGTTACTTCACGTGTTCTAGATGGACACAGCTGTTTTAAAGTTGGTTTCTTTCAAGGGTCAGATATATAGACTTTAAATTCAGAGTCTTGGGGTTTCAGCCCAACTGTCTTTGGCCCATGGACAGAAGGAGCAAAGGACAAGCAGCAGTAGGTCAGGTGGACCTGTGCTGTTTATCTTGGGTCACCACAGCACAAAAGATGTGGGGAGAACTGACTAGACCATGTTATCATCTACCCTCTTGCAGAAGCCGTGAAACTATTGGTCTCCATTTTCTTTCTTCTGTAGAGAATTGTCTATATGTGTCTGTTGATTGTTGTCTTCTCAAAAAAGATCAGGGCAGTTGATCAATCAAAGATGAGTATTACTTATTGTCATAAGGGATAACACTCCTTTAGAAGATTCTTAGAAGAGGTCAAAGTCAGATACGGAGCAAGAATTTCATATCTGGTTTGGAGTGCTGCGGCACGCCTGTCACAGTGGAGGATTCCAAGTGGGCAAAGCTCATGAATTAATAGCTTGGGACTAAAGGACACAGAAAAGTGAGGATTCTATAGCAAATCATCCTTAGTTAAACAATAAGGTCCACCCTCAGGTACTACCTGTTGACTTGAGAAGGAGGGACTGATTGAATGTTTGAAATAATAAGCGTTTAGGGAGCTCCTGGAGAAAAATGATGTTATTTACTGGGTAAGAATTTTCTGCAACAAACAGTAAAGTTATGTTGATGTAGGCTTAGTTCTGATAGTTATCAAACTGTAGGCAGCTCCTCAATTGCAAAACCCAGTTCCCCAAAACTAAGTGTAGAAATGCAGGTCACTTCTGTGAGCTTTACAGGCTGAATGAAGTGATTTTGCTTTACCACAGTGGCTCATGTTGTTAATTGTTAAATCTGGGCAAACCATAGACATGACTGGGGGATCACCTGCTACATTCTACGGGTTAAGCCACGGAGCCTCCTATAATCTCAGCATTCCATCCTGGAATCAAGATACAGAACTGTGATGTAGCCTGTTTACATCCCGTGGGAATCGAGAGTGGGAGGAAGCACCAACCACGTGCTACAATAATAGCAGATGATTCTTAAGGAGCTCCTCGCCCTTGGGAAGCAGCAGGAGTTGAGTTACAGGCAAGTTTGCACAGGGCGTCAGCATGGCTGTTTTGGTGCCACTATGAAGATCTTTTGGACTTAGTGGGTATCCTTGATGAAGATAAACAAGACTGGAGACCTGGGAGAAGAGAGCAGAAAGCACTCTCAGTGGTAGTTAACTACAGCTAAATTAAGTTGTCATTTCTCCACCAATCAGATTTGCCAGCTACATCAAGAACCATTCACCTGGCTAAAAAGGAAGCTAGAGCCAGTCCATAAAGCTTTCCAAAGCCACCATCACCATTATGTTACATACAGTTGGCAGCCAAGGCTTGGCACGCCAGTGCAGGAGGAAGCCTGCTGAGGCTTGTGCAGTTCCTGAGAGCGGCATGTACGGAGGGTAGGGATGTAGGAAACTTTCTAGCCATGGAAAATAAACATCTCACCTCCTAAAGGGTGCGATCCTGAAAACATCATGGAACAAAGACTCAGTATTGCGAGCTGAACCAAAATTTTCCCAGAAGGGAGTGGGGAGCTTGAGCCTGGCTTCCCCTCTCTTCCCTTGCGTAATATCGTCATTTCGTCTGGGGGTAGTGTGTGCAGAAGGGAGCCTTTAGCAAGATGGCTGTGCCGCAGTTTATGACTCCCCTCAGCACCTAAATCTTTGCTCTTGATTTATAGCCCAGTAACCATAATTTCTTTATCCTTTCCAAAAGTTTCTTTTTTTCCTCAAAATATATGGCCATAATTTAAAAATTAACAAAATACTCCCACATAGCAGGGCCTTGCCCCTTCTTACCAGCAAGTCGTACTTCCCAAGACCCACTTTCATCTCTTTTAATTTTCCTCCTGATATTTATCATGATTTGTTCATATTCTTTCTGAATTTATCCAGTTTTAGACTCTGTGTGTTGACTTCCTGCTGTGTTAGGTAAAAACATAAAACCTTTTATACCGCCTCTCTTTTTCCAATTTTCATAGAGATTGATTGTCACTGTTCATACTATGATTGTCAAACATGGTTTACACCAGAACCAAGTTTGGCACTATGGTTATCTTCCTTGCAAAATACTTTTTTTTGTTTGTTTTTCACTTGTAGAGTTTTCTGTGTCCCACCTGAATTTTTTTCTCCATCAGATCTGCCAAAACTCTTTGATAATTTTCCCAAAACCCTAGACATATAAGATCAGATCATTAATTTATTCTACTCTGCAGACCTTCCTTCCAGAGCCCCCTGTCCTGTTCCATTGTGATCTTTACGGATGTGGTACAGATAGCATTCTGAAATTTTTCTTTCTCATCACCCTGTAACTTCCCTTTCTGGATTTTCACGCCTTCTACTTCCTTAACTTACTATCTTATAGTGTAGAATTATGAACTCTAGTGGCTTCCAAAGAAAGAGCAGAAGGGACGCAATCATTTTTCAGTTTAAGGCATGAATACATCTTTATTCTCCTCCTCACAATTATTTACAATTTGCTCATACTTGGATTCCTGGTGAAAACTGAATTGCTTCGTTGTCTTTTAGCATAGTTGCTAGTCTGGTGAAAATCTCATTTCCAATCTCTAACATTTCTCTCTCTTTGGGTGTAGATTTCAGGATCTTCTCTCTATTTCAGTGAGCTTCAGAGTGCTGGGCACTATGAAAGCCATTTGCCCACACGTGTGCTGTAATGTTACATGATTTCACCTTGGGGCACGGATGGCTAAACGTTTTTTTTTACAATATACACATGTCCTTACTTTCGTGTTTCATGGATGGTACTGCAGAAGTTGAACTAAGAAAATGAAGTGAACCACATTGAAGTAAGTAATATGTAATAGCAGAGGGGTACAGACAAGGCAAAAACCTATAAAGAAGGTTCTTAAGTGGTTGATGTTTGAACAACAATATAGTACAGAAAGGAAGGAATTTTTATTACATTCAGTGACAATATTCCATGTAGAATAAACAGCAAGAGCAAAGCAACACATACCTGGTAGGGAAATTGCAGGTCCCTCTGAATGTGCAAAGAGAAGTGATCAGGGCTTCAATTATAGGGATTCCGGTGTCTCCTTGAGTATTCTTATTTTTTAATGTTGTCTTAAAACAACAACTCAGTATTGTCTTAAAACAACAACAGGGTCTGATAGGCAGCATGATTACTTTTTGGGGCTGACCCAAACTAAAGTCAGCATCATGATTTGCCCTTGAATTGTTTATGACAACTTAAAAGGAATGCAGACCAGCTACTACCCAGGAAGTTCTGTGTATCTCCTGATACCACCCCAGAATGCATACTCATCACGTATTGGACTAGTTTGTTAAAAAGAATAGCAATTTATTTGGACCCAAGTCTCAGAAAACCTCAACGAACATCCATGCAATGAATTTTTGATTTCTCATCGTTTTAGATATTGTTCTTTCTGTATCAGCACAAGCCTGAGATGCTCAACAACAAAACACAGAAAGCGTGGTTTTCTGTGGTCATACTGCCCTGTACAGTGGCTGCCTAACATTATGGACATTTAGAACTAAATACATTAAAATTAAATGAAATTAGAAATTCAGTTCCTTAGTCACATTAACCGCCAAGAGCTTACTAGTCACACATAGCTGAGAGACAGAGAGAGAGAAAGAGAGAGAGAGGGAGCAGAGAAAAGACATACCCTTCAAATATATGTCCTACTTCTTTCAGCTGGGCCACACCTCTATACAACCCATTCACCTGTGAATGAATCAATGGATTGACCCATTGGTGAGGTTGGTGCCTCATAGTCCAGTCACCTCTCTAAGCTTCACCTTAGAACACTGTTACACTGGAGCTCAAGCTTTCAATGCTTTGGGAAGCATTTCATGCTTAAACAATAGTGTACAGCTTCTGCATTTAAAGAAGATTTATATGGAGTCCTAATATTTTGAAGCTATTATAAATTCCATTTTTAAAAATTTTTGATTTTCCGTGATCAATGGCTAGTTTTTATGTTGGCCTTTCATCTTGTGACTGTGATCATTAGTTCTAGGGAATGTTTTGTAGATTTCTTGCAAATTTCTACATAGACTATCATGTTCCCTGTGCACGAACAGAATTTTCCAGTATAAGGATGTGGGTAACAATCTGCTGAGAGATCAGATAAAAATTTCCAATCATGTAAGACAAAGATGTGTACCCTGGTCCTTTTCTTTTTCCACTTCTGGTTTTGTGATTTAAAGTCTTTTTAAATGCATGCTTTTCTTCCAGGCCCTCAGACAAAGGACTTTTGTGGAAACAATCTCCCAATAAAATGTTCCTATGACAAGTGTGGTTGTGGTGACTCGGTCCTTGTGAATATTAACTGCTCTAAAGTCAACTTTGCTAGATACCCTCAAAGATTTATAACATCATACACTGCAATCCTTGAATAAGTTACTCCCAATAGCTACTTGAGGATCACTGTTGCATCTTTCATATTTATAGTGACAGAGTGAAACTGGAACCCAACACCCTCATCACTCTTCTGATAATGGAATAAGGAGCATCAGTCTCAGCAACAAGACGGCTATGGAGCCAAGGAGAAAGGGGCTGACATTTCTGATCTGTCAAAGCCCCAGGAACCAAACCCCAGCTAGTGTCTTCCAGACACTGAGGTTCCATCATTTGTTTATCGGAAAATGGCCCTCCCACCACTGGCTGATCCCTCAAGGATTTTCAAACAGCTTAGCCCACACAAATGACAGGCTGAAGTTAACCGTACTGCTCTAATTGAGGACTGTCAAAAATACCAACATGCAGGAGGTAGCAGGACATGGGTGTTTTGCACGTCAGAATTTCTATGATGCACTTGATCTGCGGTGGGTCCGGAATTGTCTTGGGGAATAAGAAGGAAGGTGAGGGAAATATTTCTCTAGGGCTGTCTTAGCTCCCATGCTGTGTGTCATTAATCTGGCAACAAAACAGGAAGCAACGTAGAAGCTTAGAGCCAAAAATAAAGCCCAAGTGCCATGTCCGGAAGTGTTGAAGACCAGACAAAGGGAGTCTTTTAATTAGGACTTACCAGCTGTACAAAGTCCATGGAGCCAGAACTGGGTGCTCTCTGGCCTGCTGTATACCACCCTACATGCTGTCAGGAGCTAAAAATTCACATCATTTGAAGGAACAGAAAAAATAAGCCACCATGAAATCTCTGGAGAGAGACAGCCTTCCTAAGTTTCTTTTCTAGGAATGCATATCTATGACCAGACTCCACCAAATCTAATCTCTCTGCCTCTTGGTCTCTATTTCCATTTTAGGGAGGCTTCCAAAGAGTTCCAGGAGCCATTGGTAGGAACCAGGTTTATTGTTTTCTTCATCAATAGATACCAACATTTGGTCACTTCTGAACTTTTGACATGCATACAATCATTTATCTTAAAACCTAAAGAAACTTATTGTTTTCCTTATTAATAAGGGCAACACGCAGATGCTGTAACAAAGTGGAAATAGAGAAAGTGCTGTTAACTCTTTGTTATGTACCCTTAAGAGCTGAGTTTCTCGATGTTACCGTTACCCTGATTGTTTTGCCTGGTGGTTCTTTGCCGCAGAAACCTGCTCTGTGCAAAGTAAGGTGTATATTTAGCAGTGTCTCTGGTCCCTACCCACTGGATGACCATAACAACTTCCTCCCCACTTCCCACTCCTGTTGAGACAACCAAAAATGACTCACAACATTGCCAAATGTCTCCTGGAGTTGGGGACAAAGAGCTCTCAGAACCGCTGCCCATATCATTCCAGCTTCAGGAAAGGTTTAGTGACTGAATTTTTACAGCCCATTTCTCTTCCCCTGCAGGAGGCCAGATGACACAGAAATACAAGCAAGTGAGGAAAATGTAATAAATGTTATCAGCTTGGCTAATCATTCAAATCATAAGACCAGGGTGCAGGGTAAGCCTGGCTAGTTTCACTTACGGCAATCAGAGGAGCTGGAAACAGAAAAGAGAGATGTGGTAGGACTTCTCTTTTACACAAAAAGAGGTTGAAGCCTTGGGCGAACCATGAGCCAGGAATGGGGAAGACTGTTGAAGCAGAAGGATTCCCCATGTACTTGCGGACCCATGCAACCGGTAAAGGTAGATCACTCTCTTGGTTGGAGGATCAGCTTCTTAGGTGGGCACTTCTTCCTTAGTGCCCCTCAGAGGCTAAGTAGCCCTTGTTTCATGAGTCAAGCAGGAATGTGGGGGCCAGGCAAAGCAGGGCTCCCCAAAACGGTTCCTTTCTATGAAGCATAAATACACACAGGTGTTTTAGGGATGCACGTAACAACCCCTTCCTCCCAAACACACATCACATGCCACAGTGCTTTGCTGTCTTCTCAGCATTGCTCTGTACACATTGTACACAGCACATTTTCCAGTTGCTGCTTCAACACTTTTCACATTAAATTATTTAAGGTAGAATTTTAAATGGTTCTATATTGCTTCTTTGTACATAACATATGTGGCCAACTCCTTTCTCACTTTTCTGAACACATTTGAACATTTAAGTGGTAAAGACTACAAGGTTGAGCTCACTGCTGATTGCCTACAGGAGAATTATCAGAAGTGGAAGGATGCTTGCAAAGGTTGTGTATTGAGATGCCCTTCTGGAAAGGAGCCCCAAAATAAAAGTTGCTGAGGAGCTAAGATAACTACGGCATAGATCAGTAGCGCGACTGAGCAGTGCCTCATGTATGTACTGGGCTTTCTGAAGCCCGGAGGACTGTTGACATCTGAGGCTCAGTTCCAAAGGCTGCAGTGCTAACGTGAGTTTTGGTGCCCCCGGCAGCTGGGGTCTCCAAGGTCCCCAGGAAGACTCCTCTCTTGTCCTTGGATGCCCTCTGCTCCTGGCATACCATATAGGCCTTGCCCCTGGCACAGTGCTGTGGACAGAGCCTCTGCCACCTTCTGGATCTGCCTAGTGATGTGGTCAGGTTCATGTTCACTGGGTGGGAGCTCAGCTGGAGAGAGGCCGTGGTGCGGAACCATCTCCAGGCTCCCTGGAGCTGCTGCCCGAATTGTTGGGGATAGCGGTCACTTGAGTACCTTGCGGTCTTTACCAAAACCTAGGCATTCACATGCTCATTTTGGTATTTCCGATCTGAGGATCCCGTGAGGAATTGTTCCTGGGATTTACTGACAGTCCTTTTGGCCAAGATGTTCCTAGAAAAGTCAGCTTTACCCAGGGTAAATTTTAAACACTAGTACCAGTTAAATACCATCTAGAAGTCAAAAGCTCGCTCTGTTCTGGGAGACTTTGTATCTTTATTTTTTTCCTTGTCTCTTTCTTCCGCAATTTAAACATGACCCCAAAAGGCACTGTCTAAGTCCTGCAGCAGGAGACAGCCAGCTTGCCAATGTTAATATTTGTGTTTGGAAGCAAGGCTCCTGTGAAACAGGCAGTGGCCCATGAGCTGCCTCCGAGGCATCTCTTAGCTAGTGTGTTGGCCGAACAATCCTCTTCTTCATCCGTTCTTTATAGTTTGGGAGGGAGCTAAGTGTTTTCATAGGAAGAGAATGTCTGGGTGTGAGGAAGTTGGGGCAGTGTGGGGTCTGTCCCTTGGGTCCTACTCAACATCTCTAACTGCCCCCTCCAACCTCAGATGACTTAGAAAAACTGACTGGGTTTGAGAAACAGTGAACGGATGGGGTTGGCTCAGTGAACAAGTCCTGCTGTTCCACCTCCTCCAAACCCCCTGCCAGGGTCCATCCTCCTGAGACACTGCCGACTCTGTTCTGCAGGCACCCGCTTACGTCGCTTGGCTGGGAAATGTGTGTGCTGGGCCTCCCTCCCTCTTGCAAAATGAATACCTGCCAGGGCAGGGCCAGTGCCTGGCACTGGATGCATGCGAGGATGTCCAACTCAGAACAGCCACTCGCTTTACCCTGTCACTCATGGAAATGAGGGATGGTCAGCCTGGCTTCCGTATCACCTCCCTCCACAAGCCAGGTCCTTGGGGCCTGCTGCTTGGAGGTGGCCCTTCCTGGCCATTAGGGACTCCTGCAGCAGAAGGCATTTTGGTCAAAAAGTACAGCTGACGTGGACAGAGACGTCAGCCAACAAAATTCCCTGTGTTGTCTTCCTGCTTTGAAAAGTCAGCATGTGCACCAATAAGGACTGAAGGGATGTAAAAATTGGTTAAGAGTGGATGTAACTGGAAATAATTACTTTTAACTCTAGTTTCTTCATGTTCTATAATGGGAATTGTCCTTATTATTATTTTTTTTTTTAAAGGAAAGGGACTTGAAAAATATTTCCCATTTTAAAAGGTGAAATCAGGGCAGGTGAGTATTTCTTGGCCTCCGGCCTGGTGAATGTCTGTGAACACACACAAGCTAGGGGTGGGGTGGGAACAGTGGACACTGGGCGTGATTTGCTGTGGGAGGCTGATTGCTTTTCATAAAGTTGAACCCAGCAGAATCCTGGAAGATGTATGTAGCACCCCCAATTTGCCTCAAGCTAAAGAAAACTTGGAGGCCATAGGGCCAGTTTCTGGGCCTGCTACTGCCATTAATCATATCACCTGCTTGATATGAACCCACTATGGAGTGCTTGAACCCACTCTGGAGTGGACACAGGGTCTCCCAGATATAGGACCAGCAGAGTGGGCAAAGGGTAGAGAGGGAATATAAATCCCTGGGGGACAGGAGAAGGCAGAGGATGCTGGAGAACTTGGCCTCTGGGGGCTTCCACCCTCACACTTGATAGTGACCCATGAGCTAATCTCACATTTTCTTCCCAGGAAACTGAATGTTACCAGAGATAGCCAGGAGATCTTTGGGAGACTAATGAGATTACTCCAGGAAACCTTCCCTGGGTACAGATGATCTCTACAGCCAGGTCCTTCTCTGGTTATAGATCTCTCCTCCCATTCCCTTCCCTTAAATTAATTGCCACCTTTTATCAGGATCTGAAAAATCTGATCTTACATGTCTTGTGATGGAATACTTTGGCAGGCTACTTCCTGGCTGGTCACAATTCTCTTCAGCCCTGGATGAAATTCCTGCTGGTGTTGCACAATCAAAAAGTCAACTGAAAACAGAAGACAACAGTCTTTAAGAAAAACAAGATGGGATCAGCATGGGATGGAACGTTGACAAAAGGGAGGAGATAGGACATTCACAAACCGGGCTAGCAGTGGGACAGTGTATTAGTGAGGTATCCATATGGAAGAAGCTGGGTGGGCTGGGAGGGCCAGCGGAGGGGCTTGCCTAGACTTGGTGGTGGGTCTGGAAAATGGGGCTGATGGTTAGACTTGGTAATTCTGCTGAGTTCTTGATTCCCCAGGAATGCACGCTGTTCGTTGGGGTCCCTAGACCTAGTCACAGCCACCTGCTGATGCTTTGCAGTGGAGAGTCACCAATGAAAGAAAGGGGTGTGGAGCTATAAGAGGTAGAAGCACCCATCTCAGAGACCTGCAGCTCAGCCCCCACATCACATCTCCAGACAGGTACTGGCCATCCTCGGATTAGAGCTCTCCTAAGCAAAGCAGGAACCACAGTGCTTGGCCCAGATCCCACTGCCTCCAAGCAATGAAACGGAGCCAGCAGTGTTAAGAGTAGAAAGAAAGCAGATACATTTCTTTTGTTTGTCCCTCAGTCCAGGTATGGTTTGGGGAGTCTCCTTGGCTTTTGAATTTGGAAAATTTCCCTTGAGGAAGAATCGAACTCAGCATTGTCTCTGGAGCCAAAAGCAAATAGCTGAGGAGTGAGGCCCAAGAGGGCCATTTCCACCAGCCAAACCATGCTTGCCCGGGGCGCTGCAGTGCCTGCTCGCTTGGCGATCCACGGAGCTGGCCCCGTTTTGGTGGAGGCTCTGGCCTCCCCGTGCAGGCCTCAGGCGGATCTGATCCTGGCCTCCACTGGACCTCATTTAATGCCTGTGTGTGGGCGAGAAGATTGGACGAGACATTGCTCACTTTGCCTACTCACACAGGAATGCCACCGAGCAAGTGGGACTCTGCCTCAGGTAAGAGGCCAGTGGGAGAACGTTTGCCCCCACTAGCTAGGACCCTTCCCTGACCCTTCTACTTCTGAGCCATGTTGCAATATTTCCCCAGGAGAAGGCTCTGTTCCAGAGGCTCAGCCAGGAAAGCACATGAGAACAATTTTTTTTGCTCTTTTTGAGACATTCCTTCCTGCCTCCCTGTCAGCCACATCCTCCACTTTCTCCTTGTCCCAGCCCCAGGTGGGTTTTTGGAAGGGGCAAGAAGTAACAGCAGTGGGGCAGTCACCACCCCTACCCTGGTACACACACATAGAGAAGCACGGTGTTGAGAATGTGAACCCTTTCCTTATCCCTGTGCAGAGGAGACAAGACAATATGGTTCCATCAGATGGGACATCCCAAGGCCCTTTATGACCTTTTGTATCCTGTATGAAACCTCCAGGCTTGTAAGCATGAGCCAGACGTTGTTGCTGTGGACAGGAGTTCCACAAGTTCCTTGCCTGGGACTGTATCCTATTAGCTGACCGGTGAGCTGAGCGGGTCATGCCTCTGACTTGCTTAGCCCTGGCTGTGGAGAAACTCCAGGCACCTACGAAGGAAGATCATCCACTTAGGGAAGGCCCAGGGCCTGTCACTGTCTCTTCTGACTGTGTTTCCACCAGTTCCAGGGCTTCTGACCACAAGAGTCTCCCCCACAGACCCTCTTATTACACATGGCAGACAGAGCCGAGCCATTCTCTTGGAAAGAAACATCCTGCAAATAGCTAGCAGTCAAAACAAGCACAAAAACAAACAACCCATGCAGACCTGCAAATGTGCCCTGCTGGGAAAAAAAACCAAACCTTGTCTGGGTTTTGGGCAAGGAAGATCTGGGAAGGCCAGCCCACATGCGTGGCTCAGGAGAATGGGCTGAGCACTGTAAGCAATTGCCAGAATGGCTGCACCTTCTTCCTAGCCTTGCGTGCGACATCGTTCCTGTCATCAGGAGGGGGCGTCTGTCTCCTCACCTGCAGAGCCTGTGCTGGACCTACTTTGATTCTAGAATGTGGAAGAAGCGAGCATATGCCACTTTTGAACCAGGAGCGTCACACACTTTCTCTCACTCTCCTGGGACCTCTGGGAACAAATTCAAGCAGGCCTGCTGCACGATGTGGCTGATCAGCCCATTGCACTGACCTACTGCCACCCAACAGACGCATGAGTGCAGCTGTCTCGGAACACCAGGTGACTCCCCCTTTGATCACAGACACACTAGGGAGCCCATGAGTAGCTGAGCAGCTTGGATGAGAAGAACCATCCATCCCATTTACTGAACGTTGAAAATAAAGAATGATAGTTTTTTAAACTACCGTTTTGGGGTAGAACTCATATCCCAACTCTGTATGATTACTCTGAGGATCATGCAGAATAGTGTGACACTATACATGTGCTGGAAATGTTAGTTGAATATCATTACAGTTATAGAATTGGAAAAGGCCACAGAGATTATAAAAATATGCATAAAAATACAAATATGAGCTTCCTTTCTCAAACTCATTTAATCCTTGAAGTATTTTACCTCCTGTTGAAAGAGGACTGAGATCCCAAGAAGCTAACTTGTCAAGAATCTTACCTAGGGGCTGGGGATTTAGCTCAGTGGCACAGCGCCTGCCTGGCAAGTGCAAGGTCGTGAGTTTGATTCCCGGTACCGGAAAAAAAAACCCCAAAAAAGAATCTTACCTAGTAATGGCGCAGCTAGATTCAAACACACTCCTGCATGATTCAAGGCCATGTTTTTCATTACTGGGATAGAAATTTTGCTTCATCTACTTAAAAACTATGTCTGAGGCCTGCTCACCCAGATGAATGAGAGATATTGAAAAGGAAAGGTTAAAATAGCTCACGTCTATAGGACTGAGAAAAGTCAGCAGCCGTATTCTCTGGTGTGTGATGTCATGTGAGGAAGCAAGTCCAAATTGTACCACAGATATGAGCCCGGGTGACTTCCTTGGGAAATGATCTTGCTTTCAACTTGGCTAAAAATTTCACTGGCTTTGAGAATGAAGAGCTTCTGTTTCCTCCTGCTCCAAGCTGTAGGTTTGTGCATTTACTGAAATTTATTGTAATTTGTCTGATATAAAGAGAAGCATTTAGAGTCGCAATATTTGAATTGAAGCCCTACCTACTTCCTATGAAGATTAGTGTTATGACATAATGACAGCTGATGTGACATAAGAATATCAGTTATTGTTACTATTACAATGATTAAAATTGTTACTGAAGTTGAAAACATTTGGGGTTAAACAAAAAGACACGTATCAGACTTCCTCCAAAAGCAAATAGCAATGTATTTTGGTATGGTGGAGTTTTTGCTAGGGGTTTGAGGGTACCACTTAAGAATGCTCTGCACATAATAGTAAAATCAACTAGAAGTAGTTAAGTAGACAATAATTTCTTTTCTTTTCTTTCTTTCTTTTTTTTTTTTTTTTTTTTTCTAGTACCAGGGATCAAACTCACAACCTTGCACTTGCCAGGCAGGTGCTGTGTTGCTGAGCTATATCCCCAGCCCTAAGTAGACAATATTTTCATGGCTAGAGGTGGTGCTGACATTGGTGGCATGGTTGCCTACTCTGTCACATGTGTGCTGACTTTTGTCCTGGTGTTCACTTTCTTGTGGTGTCAAAATGGCTGCTGTAATTCCAGTTAGGGAGGACAGACAGAAGAATCTAGAATTTTCTGAGAGGCTGTCCCCCCTTACATACTCTTGGACTCTCATTGGCAAGAAATGTGTCTTATGAGCACCTAAACTGCTAAATCGTATTCACCTTTTTGAGACACTATAGTAGAGAGACTCAAGTGAGAAAATACTTAAGAATGTGTTGGTCTAACTACCAACAATGATGTTATTGGAAAATTTGAGTATTTAAAAATTTGAGTGTTTATTGTTTATTTGCTTGATTGTTTTTTGATTGTGGCTTCTGATGGTACAGATACTGTATTTTTGTAGGAAGAGAGAAAACACTAACAGCTGTTATTTTTAAAGGAATCAAACACAACATTTGAACCTATTGAGCATGATCCAGGGATGTCCTGATCACATGTGTGCAGAGTCTAGCGACTGCCTTTCCTCTTCAAAATTAAGCAAAAGATTGATGCTGAACACTTATGAAAAGTCCACACACTGATGCATGTGGGGGAGCAAGAACCATGTCTACTTTGGATTTTCTGTACATACCCTATGCAGATCACATTTTGATTGTTGGTTTCTGTGAAGGTAATCATATTTAAGCAAAGAACAAATCCCTTGGGAAAATAAGAGATCCTTTCAAAATTGCCAATGGCCAAAAGCTGGGGAAAAGTTTATAATCAAAATTAGGTTCTTTGAATCTAGTGTAAAAAATCACCAGCTGTTATTGACAAAGTGGCTGCTAAACAAATAAAGAAGGTGAAAAATGACAGTACCAGGAGATGTTGCAATCTGCAACATGTTATGGATTAGCTGGTGTTGTCCTCACCAAAGAGACCAGTTGTAGGGAAAGGGTAAGAATGTGGCTTGATTTAGAGCTGATGATATCATGTGTCTAGTTACTGAAGATCAAAAGAAAGCTTGCCTATAAAACACTGCTAATGACATGAGCGCCAAGGCTAGACTCCACTTGGGTGTGTCAAAGGGAAGGATGGCTGTGAAGCAGCCAATGGGCTATGACTCACAGGACACTCTCTGGGGTGTGTCTGTAGCCATGTGACTTCACATCCCCCCCCCACTCCTCACACTCTGCTGCTTTATCAATTGTGTATAAGCACTCCCTTAAATTCTTGGTGGATCGGTAGTCAAACAGCTCTTTTCTTTTTGTATTACTAGACGTTAATTCTTTGTTTTAGGCTTTTGTGGAAAGTGACTGTTTTGCACGAGTATGTGCTTGTGTGTATATGCACGATTGCATGTGTGCTGGCGTCTGTACTCGTAAGGGTGGTGGCGCTGGGGAGAGTCGAAAGGCAACTGACTTTCAAATTCCCACTCCCAAATTTTAATGTCCTGTCTGTGGTGACCAAATATCATTTTCCTGAGACCAGAAATGGTGCTTGAACAGTGGGCTACCCTTTTCTGGAAGATTCTGAGAAACACTGCGGGCCCTGTAAATCAAACAGATCTGAGAAGTGAATGTCACACTTTGCAGTGAGGAGTCAGTGTGTGAGGGACGACAAAATGTCTCAGCGTGAAATCTCACTGAAAGAAAATTCTCGCAACCTACTTACTGTTTTTTGGGTCTCGGAAAATCTCCATCACTGTAGGACTTTTTATCCTGTGTAAGGACACATTCCTTCTTAACTCGATGGAAACCGTCGGCCTTGCTCAGCTGCCTCCTGTCAGCTCCATGTGTACCCAATTCCCGCAGAATTCCTATTTATAACACGACAGAGGTGCTGAAGAGCTGTCAGAGCCACACCAAAGCTAAACTGAAGCACTCACATTTCCTTTCCTTCTGGCCTCTGGTTACTGAAAACATTTGCTGAAAATTGCTGTCCCACTCAAGAACTGTCAAAGGTAATTGTGTTGCACAAAAGTTACCGAGAAGCATGAAATAACATGGTTACCACCTGGCGACCCAGTTAATGGAACCTGTCTGATAGGCCGCCAAGCCTGCCACATGTGAACACACCACTTTCTGTCAGAAAACCACGACGGCATACATTGGGGAGGAAGAGATGGATTGGGGGCCTCTTAGTGGCAATTTAAGATACAAATCCCCATGTAAAGAGCAGTTGTCAGGTCACCAAATCTGGTGAGGTCCATGGTTCCGGGAACGGCAGCAAAGGGGGAGGTGGGGATAAGCGCTTGGGGAATGTGGACCTGTGCAAGCAAGTAGCGGGACTGAATTCATAAAGCACAGTCTAGACTTGGCTATCCTCTCAGCTGGAGATGACCTTGGTGTCTCAGGAAATAAAAATCAGAGACTCACCAAGTGGAGGGGGCTTAGAGTCTGTCTAGGTCCCCCTCATCCCTGTACTTCTGGCGGACACCGTCCCCTTCCGAGGAAAATGGAATCTTTTCCTTTTCAGATTCCCTGGAGAGGAATATCCACCTCATTCCTAGGCCCCATGTTCAGGGTCTCATGTGCTCCTTGAAATCGTTTTGCTTTAACTTGCACTTTGAAAAACCTAAGAATTGCTCTAAATATAGGTGCCTCTGTTTATAAGGCAAATTCTCCACTAAGCCTCCAAGCCCACCTGAGGGTTCTCTTGGGAAGATGTAGTTCTACCTCATAGTTCTACCTCTAGTTCTACCTCTACCTCACGCGGTCATAAACTGTGGTTGGCTGTGAATCCAGGGAATGCTGTCAGCTGTCTAATCAAGCTGTGACTGGATGACTTAGATCTAGGAATTCCAAACTGCCATGGTTATAAAATCAGCTAATGTGAGGAGTATCTGTTCTTCAGATCTTTAGTGATACTACCTGAGCTTTTGAGGTACATCCCCCAAAATCTTACTTCTCAAGCAGGTATTAAATTGAAATCAAGGGGCCAGGGATATAGGTCAGTGGCACAGTGCCTGCCTGGCAAATGGAATGTCCTGATTTTGATTCCCAATACCAAAAAAAAAAAAAAAAAAAAAAGAAAAAAGAAAAGAAATCAAGAGTAACTACAATCTGTGTGGATCCCAATGAAAAATGAAAGTGTAGCATCTTTTTTCCAAAAAGCCATGGGAAAAAAGTTTTTCCCTTTCTTTTGTGAACTCTCTCAACCTTTCATGGTGGTGGTGTTATTTTTGTGGTACTGAGGATTGAACCCTGGGCCTCCTGAAGGTTGAGGAAGGGCTCTGCTGGTGAGCTCTCCCCCATCTTCTCTCATAGCCTTTTGAATTTGCAGTTTAATGTTATACTTCCTTGGGCACGGGAACACTTCAGAGGTGAGTATAGACAACTAGGTGTGGCACCTACCTAACCCCACACCTGCCACAGGGCGGATGATGCCGGGCAGGGTTAGGGAGCAGAGAACTGAGAACCTGTGCCAGCGAAGCAAGAGGTAGCAAAGGGAAAACCGTGCATGAGCCAGCGCTACCCAGCTCACGCACCACTGTCCTATTAGACTTACAAAATGAAAATTCAAACATAAAATGGTTAAAAATCTTAACATGGCCACCATAGTATTAAACCCAAGAGCAAAGTCCCCTTCTGATTTTACAGGATTAAAATTCATTCTCCCTCAGTACTATGAAAGCGCAGCTCAATGGCCAGCTGGAATCTTGTTGTGGAGAAGCCTGATGACTTTTTGATTCCTATTCTTTTCTACATAATCTGCTTTTTCTTCCTGGAAGTGTTAAGGATCTGTAACCCTGGTATTGTGAGACGTCTCAATTGTATATCTTGGTGTTAGTGTTTCATTGCATATTGTCCTGGGCCTTCAGAGACTTTTCAGTCTGTGAATCTTTCCTTTCAGTTCTGGGAAATTGTCTTGAATGATTTCTTTGAAAATATTTTTCTGTCTTCCCTTTCTGTTACTTTTACTGGAAGATATTGGCTCAGTCCTCTGATATTTTTCCTGTATCACTAAGCTTTTAATGACTGTAACAAAATATCTAACATAATCAACTTAAAAGAGAAAAGGTTTCGGAGGTTCCAGCCCATGACCCATTGCTTTCAGGCCTGTGGCAAACATCATGACAGGGTGGATCACGCAGAATCATGATCCACCACTCCCTTCATGGTCAGGAAGCAAAAAATTGAGGAATGGCAAATGGTCCCACAATCCCCTCTAAGAGTACCCCAGTGTCCTAGGGGCCTCAATTACTCAAGTAGGCTCCACCTTTTACAGGTTCTACCACCACCCACCACCCTGTCCTATTGGAGGACAGTCAAGGTTCAAAGTGTAGCACTTTCCCTTTATTACTTATCTTTTCCTCTTCTGTTTTGGGATTTTCTTCAATTTTGTCAACTTTCTGTTAACAACTAAAAAAACATTAGCAATCATATTTTTAATTTCCCATTTAAATAAAGTTTTCCCTCTGTTCATTTTTCATAGTGATCTGTGCTTGTTTGCATGTAATATCTTCTGTCTATGTGAGCATACTAACAATACTTGAATACTTTTATTAAGTCCAATTTGACTGTATCCTTTTTTACTCCTTGATTTCATTCATTCATGATGAGTCTTCACAAACATCTGGTGATATTTTATCTTAAGAAGTCAGAGACTGTGACTGGGTCCTGTAAGATCATGGACTGGGCCTTTCTCTAAGTTTTATCATACAGTGAACAAGAAGTGAACTTCCACTTTCACTGAAGAACTCTGAAACATTACAATCTAAAAGTCTTTTCTCTGGATTATTTAGAGGCAAGCCTTCATTTCCTGCTGGTGTCTCTCTCTCTCTCTCTCTCTGTGTGTGTGTGTGTGTGTGTGTGTGTGTATAAAAACATTTGTGGAAGGAGATGGGGAAAGAAATTTGGGGAGTCCATAATAGACTTTTATTTTGCTTTGGTTTCCTATCTGTTTGATCTAGTCTTCCTCCACAAATACAGTAACTCCAAAGAACAAACCTCCAACTTTCTGCTAGGAAGCAGGGCAAGGCTGTTGTATGAATAGACGCACATGCTGACAGAGGAGACTCCATGGGCCTGGCCAGTGTGGGCAGACTTTCAACAAAAGTCCTTTCTCCCAAGGGGCCTTACGCTTACCTTGTTCATGCAATACTTACTGCTCATGAGCCCTGAGAGGCTCGGAGCTTCTGCATTGTGAAGTTGCTCTGTTCCTACTTGTCTGCAAGCATTTGGCTTTCTCTTTTCTTCACTCTGCCAGAATAATTACCATTCTTCCACCCGTTTCTCACCTCCCAAAAATTTATGGAAACATTGATGGTAAATCGTCTCTCATCCTCTTTGACCTTTGTCTACTAATTTGTTTTTAAGAATTTCTTGACTCTCATTTTAATGAGATTTGGACAGAAAAAAAAGATAGTCATGGCCAAATCTATTGTGTGTTTTCAACCAAAATTCTTTTAGAAATATTAATCTTTATTGGAATCTACACCCAGGCACTCTACTATTAGGTGAATCCTTGATTTTTAGAAAATGAAACAGTAAACAATCTAGAGAAAGTAAGTTTCAGTTGATTTCTAACAGCCTGGTTGTAGTCATTTAAATATAATTCTAATAACCATAATACATTAAGGTGGAATTTCAGTAGAGAGTTAGATGTGGATGTGGCTAGAGTTCTGATAGCATCAAGAAGAAATAGTTGGCAGTCCAAAAGAGAAAGATAATACAAAACATAACCAGCTAAAAGAACACATAATAGTACAACAATTTCTAAGGGTACAGCCTTAAACATGTTTCAGAAAGCATTGTTGCATAAAAGTGTAATTCAGATGCCCTTCTATGGCTCCTGTTTGTGGATATAAAGTCTCTTATGGCTCCCCTTTGTTTGTAGATATAAGTTCCATGTTGTCTCCCTGTTCTGCTTATTGCCAAACATAAGACTTGTGGCTCTAATGGAGTGTTCTGAACTTTTTTGCACCCATGAATTTTCATTTTGGATCTATGAGTTTCTTCCCATAGCATACTTCTTTTTACCATTCCAAGTCCTCCTCCAAGACCCATTTGAATTCCATGATGTTCTCATCCTTCCCCTTCTGTTTGTCCCCATAGTACTTTACATTTAGATAGTAGAACTTGTTGTGCTTTGCCAGGAATTTTGGACTTATATATGGGTGTTACCTCTCCAGGTGGATCATAAACACCAGGGAGCAAATCCTGGGGCTCTTGGCATAATGACTTGCTTATAAATGCTTCTGGAATCTGATTGAAAGTATCATAATTGATATCAACCTCACAACTTTTAGTCTTCAAGGAAAGGTTAAATAAGACTCTGTAAAGAAGAGTGTGTGATGTGTTTTCAAAAGATTTCAAACTAATAAAAATGAAATAAAATGTTATGTGTAAAGGGCATATTACCTTTAATTAATCTTAGCATGTATTCATGTTATATAAAATATATCATAAAATGCATGTTAATTGACAGTGAGTGTTATTTTTCACATGGACACCAATCCTGTCATTACACTAAGCTGTTTAAGGTTGAATATCAGAGCTTAGGAGCAAACATCAACCACATCTTCTTAAAAGGACACAGTCAAGAGTTTGTGGGAGATACAAAAAAGTGAGTACTGTATCTTCATTTCAGTACATTTTGGAGCCTTCCCTTCACATAACTGATCTGCTCTCAAAATATTTGGGCTCAAATCCTATCTTGCTCATGTTGCAATTTCCCAGGTGCTTTTATCTTTGTTCTGGATCGATCATTACTCAGGTGTGACTTCTGACACATTTGCTTTAAATCTCTCTCCCCTCCCCTGTCAAGTAGTTAATGATCTCAAAACGTAGCACTGGATTCTGCAGATTTCCCAGGGAGTCAAATGTGACCAGAGCAAGAAAACTAATG